TTTTATTATATAAAACGAAAAAAAGACTGAAATTTCTGTGAGTGTGGTCTTCCCCCCCCCCCCCCCCCAGTCTTTGCTTTTGCTGTGTCTTATCTCTAGTCTCTCTTTTTTTTTTTTTTCTTTTTCATCCCCCACATCTCTTCTAATATTCTGCTAAAACTTTGTGATTAGTACTGCTTGGACCTTGAAGAAGGGGACATTCCCCGAAAGCTTGTCCTCAAAATTGTATGTTAGTGCAAATAAAAAAAGTATCACGTCAGTACTCAGTTGTTTCTGTCTGAAAAAAAAACAAACACTTTTTTTTTAACTTTCAGCTATAGAACATATCAAATAAAAAATAACATTTCCTCAGAAATTTAGGCCAAAATGTATTCTGCTACATGTCTTTGGTAAAACAAAAAAGGTACCGTATTTGCCGCGTATAAGACGACCCCCCTACTTTTCCTGCTAAAATGTAGTGTTTGGGCTATACTCGCCGTATAAGACTACCCCTCTTCCAATGCACACCAGTGGGAGGAATAGTGCCCCATCATCGGTGTCAGTGGGAGGAATAGTGCCCCATCATTGGTGTCAGTGGGAGGAATAGTGCCCCATCATTGGTGTCAGTGGGAGGAATAGTGCCCCATCATTGGTATCAGTGGGGGGAATAGTGCCCCCCCATCATCGGTGTCAGTGGAAGGAATAGTGCCCCATCATTGGTATTAGTGGCAGGAATAGAGCCTCATCATTGGTGTCAGTGGGAGGAATAGTGTGCCCCATCATCGGTGTCAGTGGGAGGAATAGTGCCCCATCATTGGCATTAGTGGCAGGAATAGTGCCCCATCATTAGTATCAGTGGGAGGAATAGTGACCCATCATTGGTATCAGTGGCGGGAATAGTGCCCCATCATTGGTATCAGTGGGGGGAATAGTGCCCCCATCATTGGTGTCAGTGGGGGGGTGGAATAGTGCCCCATCATTGGTGTCAGTGGGGGGGGGAATAGTGCCCCAACATTGGTGTTAGTGGGGGGTGGAATAGTGCCCCATCATTGGTGTCAGTGGGGGGTGGAATAGTGCCCCATCATTGGTGTCAGTGGGGGGGGGGGGGGAATAGTGCCCCATCATTGGTGTCAGTGGGGGGGGGGGAATAGTGCCCCATCGTTGGTGTCAGTGGGAGGAATAGTGCCCCATCATTGGCATTAGTGGCAGGAATAGTGCCCCATCATTAGTATCAGTGGGGGGAATAGTGCCCCATCATTGGTATCAGTGGCAGGAATAGTGACCCATCATTGGTATCAGTGGCGGGAATAGTGCCCCATCATTGGTATCAGTGGGGGGAATAGTGCCCCATCATTGGTGTCAGTGGGAGGAATAGTGTCCCAACATTGGTGTTAGTGGGGGGTGGAATAGTGCCCCATCATTGGTGTCAGTGGGGGGTGGAATAGTGCCCCATCATTGGTGTCAGTGGGGGGGGGAATAGTGCCCCATCGTTGGTGTCAGTGGGGGGGGGGGGGGAAGTGTGCCCCATCGTTGGTGTCAGTGGGAGGAATAGTGCCCCATCATTGGCATTAGTGGCAGGAATAGTGCCCCATCATTAGTATCAGTGGGGGGAATAGGTGCCCCATCATTGGTATCAGTGGCAGGAATAGTGACCCATCATTGGTATCAGTGGCGGGAATAGTGCCCCATCATTGGTATCAGTGGGGGGAATAGTGCCCCATCATTGGTATCAGTGGCGGGAATAGTGCCCCATCATTGGTATCAGTGGGGGGAATAGTGCCCCATCATTGGTATCAGTGGGGGGAATAGTGCCCCATCATTGGTGTCAGTGGGAGGAATAGTGTCCCAACATTGGTGTTAGTGGGGGGTGGAATAGTGCCCCATCATTGGTGTCAGTGGGGGGTGGAATAGTGCCCCATCATTGGTGTCAGTGGGGGGGGGATAGTGCCCCATCGTTGGTGTCAGTGGGGGGGGGGGGGGGAATAGTGCCCCATCGTTGGTGTCAGTGGGAGGAATAGTGCCCCATCATTGGCATTAGTGGCAGGAATAGTGCCCCATCATTAGTATCAGTGGGGGGAATAGGTGCCCCATCATTGGTATCAGTGGCAGGAATAGTGACCCATCATTGGTATCAGTGGCGGGAATAGTGCCCCATCATTGGTATCAGTGGGGGGATAGTGCCCCATCATTGGTGTCAGTGGGGGGAATAGTGCCCCATCATTGGTGTCAGTGGGGGGTGGAATAGTGCCCCATCATTGGTGTCAGTGGGGGGGGGGGAATAGTGCCCCATCATTGGTGTCAGTGGGGGGGGGAATAGTGCCCCATCGTTGGTGTCAGTGGGGGGGAGGAATAGTGCCCCATCGTTGGTGTCAGTGCGAGGAATAGTGCCCTATCATTGGTGTCAGTGGGAGGAATAGTGCTCCATCATTGGTATCAGTGACACCAATGATGGGGCACTATTCCTCCCACTGACACCAATGACACTTGCTGACCCTGTTCTAGTATGGTGCTGCTGCAGCCAGCATATGTGGTTGCAGCAGCACCTCTACACTGAACACTTACCTGCTGCTCCTGCACTCGATTTTTGCGGGGCCGCTCGGCTCCGCCCCCTCGCCGGTGATTGGCCGCCTGTCTACCTTTCCTGAGCTACAGTTCTGGCGGACAATCACCGGTGAGGAGGCGGAGCCGAGCAGCCGCGCGAACATCCAGTGGCCGAACTGAAGGAGCAGCCGCGCTTCCTGGACCAGATT